TAAGAAGAAATTTGGATAGTTGCTCCCTTCACACAAAAGAAATTACACATAAAACACTTGTCCCACCAAGACTTGAGTACTGCAGCTCAATTTGAGATCCAATATCAAAACCTCCACCAGGAAAATCTTGAAAAGGTCCAATGGTGAGCTACAAGGTTTGTTACCAGTGACTACAGACATACCAGCAGCATCTCAATACTTTGCAGAGGAGTCACTTCAAGACAGCTGGAAAAAAGCTTGGCTTGTACTTCCAGAACTGTAAGGTTTATACAAACCTTCCAGATAGCCATGTACTAACTCCCATAAACACATTTTCGCTGGTTTGATTGTGCCAATTTACTCTTCCATCACAGCTACACGTATTTGTGCAGGCAAATTTCATACATGCCATCCCTGTGAAATTAGAGGTCAGATGGATAGGTTTATTCACCAAATATATTCTCATTAAAATGCTGAAATTCTTGAGCATTTTGCTCATCCACACTACAGAAAATCAGCAGTATGTACTCTCAATAACTGTCGGCAGTGTGATAGCTTGACCAACTGACCAACACAGTTCCTATCTTTTCCTTTTGTTTTCCTGACCCAATCCAAATGAAAGCTGAGCTTTGATTGGTCACTGGAATGGAAGCAAATTGGGCAAATCAGGGTGGCTTTCATCTGTGGAAGACAGGAAAACAAAAGGAAGAGATAGGAGCTGTGTTGCGATTGGATAAGCTTTCACACAGCTGACAGTTATTGGGAGTACATGTATGTTGCAGATTTTCTGTAGTGTAGATGGGCAAAATGCTCAAGAATTTCAGCATTTTAATGAGGATGGTGAATAAACCTCCCCATCTGACATTTAACTTCACCAAGAATGCACGTATGAAATTTGGTTGCACAAGTTGCTGTGATGGAAGGGTAAGCTGACCAATCAAAACAGTCACAATGTGTTTATGGGAGTTAGTAAGTGGCTATCTGGAAGGTTTGTATGAACCTTACAGTTCTGGACGTAATAGCACTGAACAAGGAAATCCATTGTACAAATGTATTACCCATCCAATGTATGTAAACCATCTTCTAGTAAAGGACACCTCTTCTCAGCCTGCGGCTTGGAACACGCATGAACTACATGTAAATTACAAAGTTATCTGGTCAAGAAAGATTGCTACTGTTACCCTCCAACCTGAAACACTCTACCCTCCTACACCAAAACTGCACCTGATCTTGCTTCATTTCAGATCTTAATCAACAATAATCAAAATTTTGTAATGTGATGCATGATGGCTTGCATATTGATAGGCATTGATAGAGGCGATCTGTGCAGTACAAGACAAGACAAGATCAAGGTATTTGTCATGATTGTTCAGCAAAGTGGTCTTACTAATTACTGTCAACACACTGTCAATACACACAGTGCTGTTGACACGCTGTCAACACTTCTATGAGACAGGGTACAGTCCAAGTTCCAAGTCCAAGGCAAAACAGCAGGCAACGGCTATTAGAGATAAATTTTTTCGTGTGAAAGTACTCTATTTTTAAATTTGGAATTTCACTTCAAACCACTGAAAATTCTTGTTTAACCCAAATATTACAGTTTTGTGCCTCTTTAGCTGAATTATACTGCATTTTGGATGTGTTGAAGTGTGTTGACAGTGATTACTATTAGTAAGACCCAAGCAAAGGGTATGTGCTGGTAATGAATGCCTAGCTACATGTACATGTAAGCTCCACATCAGCATTTAGCATGTTGTTAGGGCTGGAGTTACACTTAAGCTAACAACAACATTAGACTTTAATAAACGTACACGTATGATGTACATGTACTGGGGCCTAGTTATGATGTAATGATGTAGGCTGAAGGAGAGTGTACCTACCACAAGGATATGCGATCCTTTGGATACTGCAGGTTCTCTAAACATCCAAGAAATGTAGGTAAAGTGTGTTCCTTGTTTCTTGCCAGGATAGGAATGAAAACTGTTGGTTGCAATACCTCAACCTTCTCTGTAACAGGCCTCGGCCTACTAGTACTATCGCTAGTACTACTAGTACGTAGTAGGCCTAGTATGGGTCTGCGAACATGGTGAGCATGATGTGCTACTGCTAGCGCTAGGCCTATCGGTTGGTCCTCCGTCATTGTGCAATGCTAACACTTGGCCAGTTAAACCAAGCACAATCACAAGAGAAATCATAGTGAAACAGTTCAAATGCACAACTTTTCCATGCGCGAGAAGCAACATTCTCTTTGATACTACCACCTCTGAAGTACTACTAGTAGACAGTGACACGTAAACATCGTTCACATGCATTATACGCCCCAATTATAGCTTCCGTCCCAACTATAATCGAGACCGTCCCAACTATAGTCCTGCAGTTGGGTAGTCTTGGTTTCAAGACCTTAGGACACGAACCATAACCAGAATCGTCATCACCGTTGGTACGTGTCAAAAAGGGCGTCCTGACAGTGAATGACATTACATGTATACACCAAATAATACACTGCACGCATATAGGATCGTTTTTGTCATGAAAATGAGAATAGTGAGTAAAAGCCCATTGCATATTGAGAAAGTGGATTTTTTTACCAAAATGTGTCCCGATTTGACATAATAGGGCTACGATCAAAAACCCACAGCGTTACAAACCCATAAAAGTCAAAGCCCTGAAAGTCACACGCAGTACACATTTAGTGGTTTTCCTTCATCCATGGGTGGAATGCACCCCCAACCAAATCGTACAGCGCTGCTGGCTATCGCTAGCTAATCTTTAAGCTTTGCCCACAATTGTAGTTCTGCAGTTGGGACGGTGCCAATAATTATGACCACATAGTTGGGACCAATGCTATAGTTGGGGCGTAACGCATGGTACATGTACTGTTCATATACGTGTACATGTGCACAGTGTGCGCACGAGGTGTCCCGTGTTCTTTCCATCTTTGCATGTACATGTACAATGTACAGTACATGTACATGTACTGTACATTGTACTGTACGATTCATGCTCGGAACACTATAATGTGCAGTACTGTACAGTATGCCTACATACATGATGTAATGTTGGTAACATGATAAAACGTCTGTAGGTGTTTTTACTCTTTCCCGTGAAGCGCGTACAATTTATTCCGCAGAGATACAGCCCACGCACAAATCTGATGATGCACTATCTTGAAATCATCGTGTGATGGAAGCGAACAGGCCTATCCCGTGTTTATAGGTTTACTGGTGGCTATAAAATTTGCCTGCGCCTTCCACAATATTTGTCTCCTGACCTACCGTCCTCCCTATATAACAATGCCTTAACTTCTTTTAAAAATTTTCTTCTACTACTCAATCTTTTTTATTTCTGAATCATTATGTACCTGCATTTTCCTTCATGCATGAAATCACTGAAGCTACAATAATGGAAATAAAAGCTGATTTTGACTTACATTTATACAATTGCATACCTAATTGAAAGAAGGGCCCAACTCCAACAACAATTTTTTTTTAGTTTAACAGAAACACAGAAACAACCAAATATTTATAAGGAGTCAAAAGGAAATCAATTAATTCGCCAAGGCCAAAATGGTGGAGTTGAGCCTTTCTGGGTGCAGCCTAAAGACCACTAATTCAAGTGAAAATTTCTGACCAGCTCATTAGCATTAAAAGTGCCTCCCCCACAGTATCTTTTGAAAAAGGAGATTGTTTGGCCCCCAAAATGGTGAGATTGTGTAAATCGTTGCCAGGATAAACTCCCTGGGTC